TCAAAAGAATTACATGTATTTTGCTCTAGTTTCCGATTTGATTCGTGTCACTCTGGTTGGACTAAAATGCCAGAAGGAGGAGATCGAAGTTGGTATATGGATTTTCTCCTGTTTGAAAATAAAGTAGTGCCTTCGGCTTGAAGAAGCTCTGAAATTTTGAATGCATATGAAAGAAGCCCACTAATAGTGTGCAGGTAAAAAAAAAAGTAATATATCGCAGATTATGCAAGCGCTGTAGGTTCCCCTCTATATCCGCCTTCCCGTTCGGTTTACCGCACGTTCGGCTTACCGATCCTTTGTTATAAAACAAAGGATACACACTGAAAAACAATTTTCTTTTACAATACCAGAAAGGGTTTTTCTCAGATCGAGTCTGCTTAGTAGTACTAGTATATGCGAAGCATGACAGACACATCCATATTAACAGGAAGCTCTTCCTGAAGTGGCTACGTAGTTTCATTTTTATTGTAGTAATTTGCCAGTTATTTGATATCCAACTGTTAGAGAGGGCTGTTACAGTAGAACGTGAAGTGAGTTAAGAACAGATTCAACAATAGAAATTATTAAACGAAGTATTATTTATCTGTAAGTGGATAATTGGCGCCTTTAACACCGGGAATAATAATAAGAATTGGCGTGCTTCCATGATGAGCTTGATGTTGAGTTCAGGAGTCATGTTACCTTCGTGCTTTTCCCCTACATCAGCCTCTCGTGCTCCTTTGGTACCTTCAGCATCTCTAATCAATTATGATTCATGTGCAAATGATTCATGTGCAAATACTCATTAACATGTAAGTATGTCTTTACTTGTCCATAGTGAAGTGAAAAGGGAATTTTGAAAAACTCTGAAGTACCAACTGAAAAGCTTCTGACATCCGGCCATTCGAGTTAGCAAGCTGAATCATACATGTATCCATGGGATTATGTGCACAGCACGAGCGTACAGATACGCTCACCATTCAGTTTAGCTCGATGAAAAATATTAGTAATACGTAGTATTAACGAAGCTGCATTAGTATTCTGAAAAGTTCTACCGAATTTTGATATAGGGTAGCCCCGTGATGGGCGGTTTTGTTTGGTGCTGCCGCTTTAGGATAGCCCCCATGCTGGACTTTTGACCAATCCAAATTTTGTTTTTTAGTGGCTCACAAGCAAAAAGCATGCCAAGGGGGGTCGACGTCGTCGGGTGTGATCTAGCGGAAGGAGGACGAAGTTGTGTAGCGCATGAAGCATGCGGAAAACATGTGAAGGTGGGGGACGTGCTGCTGTTCCGCGAGGAGGTCGATGACCAAGGCGACAACAGGCTAGGATACTGCCTGAAGGCATACTTGATTCGTGACGGCTCACAGACCTGCCACGTCGGTTACCTGCCGCGCAGACTGCTTATCCAGCGTGCCGCATTTAACAGACAATTTG